AGGCCTCTCACTTAAGGGGCCCGCCATACCAGTCACCACCCAAGGGAGAGGAGACAAAAAAATTATGTCAAAATAGCTCCTAATACATTACTTCTATTTATACAGATTTTGGGGGGATGGAAGTATTGAATATGGACATTTTAACTTTTTTTAAAAACGTACAAACATATCCTACCAAACTATTTTATATTTTATTTTGCTTTGGTGTAGCTTGCTTTCTTTTTTATTGTTAATGTTTTGTTCATCACTGTATGCTTATATATATATTATATATTAAAAGATTGTTCTATTATGTGGCTTAAACAATGCCCTAGGAATACTCAATATTTCAATTATTTATATCTATTAGGTCTGTACAGAGCATTTGACAAACTGCATCAATGTGAACAAAGCCCTCCTCCTCAAAGTGTCAGATCAGTTGTGATCTCGAAAAGGCTAGGCACAGGCACTTTGAAATCTTTCCCCAGTTGTCTCCATGCACATATTTATGTTTCATGTTCATACCCAGCCAGTCCACTTTGCTGGTATTCCCACAGGAAGTGTTATCTATGTTGACAGTTCAGATTCACCATCATTTCTTTAAAAAAAGGCAGATACAAATTCTTTCCTGACTTTTTGGACAATTTAACTCTGGAAACCTATGACTCTAAATTGTACACAAAATATCCAAAGAAAGCTCTCGGTTGCACGTAACTGACCTCTATATTTAATGATAAAACAATGATAAAAGGGAGCAAACCTAGTATATTTATCTTAACTCCTTCTCATGGGTAGAAACCGCACACACATTTGTAAGAAGGTAATATTTAGGCTGAATCTGCACAATGCAACAACTGCAGAATTATAATTATTAAACTTCTAATATGGGTGAGCTATTTATTTTGCTTCTGCCACTGGCTGACTTCCAGATTCTGTTGCATAATAAAACAGAATATCTTCAGTGCTAGAATGGAGTGGGGTTTGCTCTCTGTTTGGCAGGGCAAGCCACTGCATATAAACAAACCCCACTCCATTCTAGCCACTGTATATAAGCAAACCCCACTCCATTCTAGCACTGAAGATATTCTGTTTTATTATGCAACAGAATCTGGAAGTCAGCCAGTGGCAGAAGCAAAATAAATAGCTCACCCATATTAGAAGTTTAATAATTATAATTCTGCAGTTGTTG